TAAACTTCTGTTTGTTGAAGCCACCCCCTTGTGATATTTCTGTTTAGAGCAACAGTGGAGAACTAAGACGCCCCGTGTGAGGGTCAGCACAGGCCACCCTTTAACGTGCAGTGATGATCAGCATTGGTGAGCGGGACAGGGCACCCTAGGAGGGGGGAGAAGAGACTTCAGACGTCCGCCGGCTGCTTTTCAGTCTCAGGCTCCCTGAAAGTCCCACCTGGAGTGACTTGTGACCTACATGGCCCACTGAAACCTCCCCGTGCAGAACAAGGCCAGGTGACGGGCGTGGCTCCAGCTGGGTTTCTTGGTTTACAGGAAGGAAGTGAGGACATGAGCTGGTCTGTATTCAAAACACCTCACGCTTATACTATGTTGATTTTACTACGTCTCAGGCACTGTTCCATGCACCTTACAGGTGTGAACCAGTTTATGCCGTAACTGTATGAGGTAAATTCTATCCTTAGCCCCACTGCTCAGATGAAGAGACTGAAGCCCAAGAGAAAGTCACCCCAGGTCACAGGCCTAAGCTGTAGGTAGAACCGTGGTTCCCACCCAGGTGCCAGGGTCCAGGGCTTCTGTTCCTGCCATCACCCAGAATTCTCCAGTGAAGGCATGACTAGAGGCTGGGTGAGCTGACATCTCTGGTTCCTCTAGAACTGAACCCTTCAATAGAAGCCTGCCCACGTTACCCTGGGACGACCCCTGGGAACGGAGCACTGCGACACAGGAGAGAATAGAGAAGGTCTGTCACATGTCACCTGCCCAGCTGCTGCGACACCTGAATTTTCAAAGCAGCGTATTTTACTTCTGTGATAAAAAAAATAATAATAATCAAACACCTTAGGACATCCCAGTGAAGAGCAAGGGCTGTGGAAGTAGGCAGGTGGAGCCCTGGTGGTGCAGTGGCTAAACGCTCAGTTACTAACCCAAAGGTCAAACCTACCAACACTCTGCAGGAGGAAGCCTGGGCAGTCTGCTTCTGTAAGGATTTTCAGGCTCAGAAACGCAGTGGGGCAGTTCTACTCTGTGCTACAGGGTCCCTAGGAATGGTAATGGATTCAACAGCAGTGGGTGTGGTTAGGGCTTTGCTTCTGTGAAGATTGACAGCCTTGGAGACCCTGTGGGCAGTTCCACTCTGTCCTCTAGGGGCGCTGTGACATGGAACTGACTCCACGGCGCCTAACCACCACCGGAGGCATGATGGTGCCTCTAGGGGGTGCAGACGGTTAGGAAGATTGGGGTTCGAATCCACCCAGAGGACCTTGGAAGACTGGCCTGGCGCTTGGCGTCTGAAACTTCACAGCCTTCAAACCCTAGGGAGCTGCTCTACTCGGCAGGCACTGGGTCTCCGTGAGTCAGAGTCATCTCATGATCGGAATCAGCGGCAACAGTAACAAAGGGGGCAGGACCTCACAGCTTCAGAACAAAAGTAACAGTGGACTTCAACTCCTGGTGCCCTGTGTGGGTCGGTGCAGACAACTGGCCCCACAGGCTCTCAGACGCTGGCTTTCTGAAAGTACATCACCAGCTCTTTCCTTCTGAGGCACTTTTGGGTGGACTCGGACCGCCGACCTTTCAGTTGGCAGCCAAACGCTTAAAGAGCACGAGTCTGTCCAGGTCCTGCCCAAACACCAAGGGCTAAAAGCCACGAGAGCTACCGTTTCGGTGGGAACATGGCAGGCACGGTGCTAATACTTCGATACCGAGCAAACAGTGGCCCAGCACTTCCTACCATGTGCGAGGCACTGTACTTTCCAGATAGTGACCCCGCATTACAACCCGGGAGGCAGACACTAACGGCACCCACAGCACAGATGAGGAGACTGACGTTCAGACAAGGTCCGTAACTTGCCCGAGGTCCCACAGATGCTAAGTGGGGGAAAAAAATAAAAATAAACCCTCACTGCCATCGAGTCGGATGTGACTCATAGCGACCCCTCCTTGGGTTTCCAAGGCTATATCACTCCGGAAGTAGATTACTCAACCTCCCTCCCAAGGAGTGCCTGGTGGGTTTGAACCGCCAGCCTTCTGGTTAGCAGTCAAATGCCTTAGGCACTGCACCACCAGAGCTCCTACCTTCACAGAAGCAAAGCCCAAACCAAAGTCACTGCCATTGACTTGACTTGACTCATAGTGACCCCTCCTTGGGTTTCCGAGGAAGTATTACAACGGAACCAGGATTGCCCAACCTCCCTCCCAAGGAGTGGCTGGTGGGTTTGAACCGCCAGCCTTCTGGTTAGCAGTCAGATGCCTTAGGCACTGCACCACCAGAGCTCCTACCTTCACAGAAGCAAAGCCCAAACCAAAGTCACTGCCATTGACTTGACTTGACTCCTAGCGACCCCTCCTTGGGTTTCCAAGGCAGTATCACTACAGAAGCAGATTACCCAACCTTCCTTCCGAGGAGTGGCTGGTGGGTCTGAACCGCCAGCCTTCTGGACAGCAGTCAAATGCTTTAGGCACTACACCACCAGAGCTCCTAGATACATATATATGCATATATATAAGTAGAAGAAACAGAGATCAAATCGCCGCTGCCTGGTTCCAAAGTCCATGCTGCATAAATCCGCACATGGGCCTGCTCCCCACTCTACAAATGGGGAAACTGAGGCATGGAGACCTCAAGTAACATGCCCCAGGTCACACTACAAAGGAACAAACAGATCTGGGGTTCGAGTCCAAGCAGCCTGGTCCCAGGGCCCCTGTTCCCGATTCCTCAGTATCCGTTCTGATCCTCACAAGGCCAGTGACTGTGGACGAGTCACCCAGACCCTCGAAGCCTCAGTTTCCTCGTCTATAAAATGGGGCTGTTGTAAAGAAGAAGAGTTGATGTGGGTCACGTGCTTTGTGGAGCATCTGGCCCACTGAGCGCTCTGGCTGCGTTCACAGCCTCTCACTCTGGGGCCCGTGTCCTGACCTTTGATGCCCTGCAATTTGGGACATTTGAGTAAAACCCTGCAGAAGGAATCTTCGCGAGGGCCCCCTGTCAACAGCCATGCCATCCCACTACCACGGGGACCCTGATGGGTGGCCTACCTCCAGCGGGGTGAAATCGTGGTTGACCAGGAACGCCAGGATGGCCGTGGGGACAACAAGGAACTCTACTCGGAAGGTGTCGTGGTTCCCATCGTAAGTGGCTTTGAACTTGCTGTAAATCATCCAGACCGTGGTGAAGGAGCAGGCAATGTAGACCACCTGTCCAGGGGGTGAGGGAGAGGAGGACTCAGCTCCCAGCACAGGATCCCTGACCCCAAAAGGCTTGGGCCCAGGGGTGCAGGCAAGTCCTGGCCCCAGCCCCTCCTCCCTTGGAGCCAGGAGACCAGGCCCTACCAAGACCCCTCTTCCAACAGACCCAGGAGTCCCCACTCCCCAGTCCCCTCTTCCCTCAGACCCGAGAGTCCAGGTCCCCAGCCCTGCCTCCCCCACACCCGGGAGTCCTGGCCCCCCCTCCCTGAGACCCAGGAGATGCGGCCCCTTCTCCCTCAGACCCAGGAGTTCAGGCTCCCAGCCTTGCCTCCCCCAGACCCAGGGATCCTGGCCCCTTCTCCCTGAGACCCAGGAGACGCGGCCCTTCCTCCCTCAGCCCCAGAAGTCCAGGCCCCCAGCCTCCTCCTCCCTCGGACCCAAGAGTCTAGGCCCCCAGCCTCTGCCTCCCCCAGCCCCAGGAGTTCAGGCCCCAGCCCCTCCTCCCGCAGACCCAGGGGTCCTGGCCCCAGCTTCTCGCGGGAGTTGGGACAGAGCCCTTACCTTCATGCACGTGTTGTAGAGGGAGATATAGTTGGTGAAGAGGTCCAGGTAGCGGGCGGTGAAAACCACGGCAAACAGGACCTGGCTCTTCCCGGAGATGCCTGGGGTCCAGAGAGAGAGCGAGAGAGCTGCAGGAGGGGAGGGCGCTGGGGCTGCGCCGCACGCCGAGCAGCCGAGCCCGCGAAGGCGCGGCGCCTGGGCCGGGCTGAGCCGCCCCGGAGTGCAGCTGTCCCTGGAGCCGACCCAGCCCGCCCGCCTGAGAAGCGCCCTTTCCCACGTCCCACAGCCAGGGGGCGGCCGGGCCCTGCAGCTACTCCAGCCCGAGGCTCCGGCCCGGGCTAGGCCTCGCGGCCGCCCCCAACCCCCCCGGCCCGAGAGCTCGCCACCGTCCAGACCCCAGATGGGGCTCACAGAGGACCCTCGCTGCTCTTAGGCCCCGGGCACCGGCCGCCTCCCTCTCGCTCCCTTCCTGGTCGCCACCGTCCACGTCACCAACTCCTAGTCACCTCCCTGCCTGCCACGGCTCCCAGTTCCCAACCCCGGAACCCCGGGGGGCTGCCCAGATCCGGGCGAGGGGAGCGGAATTGGGGGCCTGGAGCCCCTTCCGACTGGCCTGCCTGCAGCCCCCGGTCTAGAGAAGGGAGCTGACCCCCTGGCGACCCCGGACCTGGAAGGGGATCCCAGAGCCAGCGGTGGGGGGAGGGGCCGGTCCTCCAGGGCCCCCCAAACCCTTCTCAGAGTCCTGGGACGCCCCCCTCCAGCCCTTCCCCGTCTCTCGTCGTGGTAGGGGGGTGTCTCACCGGCACAGGAACGGGACTTCCAGATTTTGAGGAGCAGTAAGATGATGGCCAGGAGGTGGGAGAGGTCTCCCAGGAATCGGAAGAGATTCATGGTCGGGGGGGCTCTGGCAGGGCTGTGTTGGAGGGAGGCAGGCTGGCGGGGGACAGCCCCCCGCGGCTGCGGTGCTGGCTGGCGGCTGGGGGCGGGAGAGGGGCCCTCGGTGGGCTCCGGGGAGGGGGCCCGGGAGGGGGAGCCGAGGCGCGAGCTGGTGGCTGAGTCCGAGCTTGGAAGCGGGAGCGGGCTGGGGGGGGAGGAGCCCCGGCCGGGAGGCTCCGCCCCCAAGGGCGGTCCGGCTCTCGTGCGCCCCCTATGGTGGTTGTTGTTGAGTGCCGTGGAGTGGATTGTGACTCACCCAAACTCACCACCGTGGAGTCGGATCCGACTCCTAGCGGTCCCTCCTTGGGTTTCCGAGGTGGTATCATTACGGAAGTAGATTGCCCAATCTTCCTCCAGAGGAGTGGCTGGTGGGTTTGAACCGCTAGCCTTCCGGTTAGTAGTTAAATGCGCACAAGGGCGCACACAGACACACACTCCCTTTGCTTGCCTAGTGACTTCTGAGTGAGTGCACCCCCAAAGCTGCCTCCTCGAAGCCAATGGAGTCACTCGGATCTGAAGCTCCCCAGTCTAGTTCCCGCTTACACAGGCCATCTGTGCCTATCTGTAAGGGGGGCGGTCCTGCCGCCCAGCCTCTCCCTGCTGTAACAAGGACCCAGGGCTGGCCTTGGAGTTTAACATCCTCGACAAAGATCCCAAGGCTGCAGGGCCAGTTTCAGCCCCACAGGAGAAATCAGGGTCCACAGGACTGAGGAGTGCTGCCCCTCCCCCGCCCCTCTCCCCTCAGCCCCAGGAGTCTGGGACCCCAGCCCCTCCTCCCTGAGACCCAGGAGTCTGGGACCCAGCCCCGTCTACCCTCGGGAGCCCCAACCGTCCTATGTCTCCAGCTTCCTGGCTCCAGGAGTCTAGATCCACAATCCCCTCCTCCCTCTGGGACCCACAAGTGCTGTCCCCAACTCCCTTCTTTCTGAGAAATAGAAGCCTTCACCCCTACCCATCTACACCTTGTGGGTGAAGGAAACAGGAGACCGACCTAGCACGTTCAAAGGGGCAAACTCAGACCCAAGCTACTCCAGGAACCCCAGCCCAGGCTCCAGGTCTGCGGCAGAATTTTGCCCTACACACACACACACACACACACACACACACACACACACACGCCCCGCCTCTAGGGCCCCTCTTCGCTCCCTCACTCCCGTGCTTGGCGGGTGTCTGGAATGTGGGCCCCATATCTGCAGCAAGAGAGACTGAGCTGGCCTGCTGGAGGGTGGGGCCCTCAGGGGGCCCCCAGTGTGGTCTGAACTGCTGTGTCCATGAGGGGGGCAGACACTGGGGTCCTTCTGGGTGTCTGAGCACCTGTGGGTGATGGGGGGCCAAGGCCCCTCAGAAGAAGAAGAATATAGAGAGCCTGGCTTTCTCAGAGGGCTGGGTGGGCTGGGAGGACTGGGTCCATGAAGGTGACCTGAGGGTGGCTTGTGCTGGGGGGTGAGGATATCTGAGGAAACTCAGTCCTGGAGCAGGAGCCTGGGGTTCCTGGGTCCTCAGGGAAGAGAGGGCTGTGGCCTTGAACTCCTGGGTCCTGGGGGAGGAGGGCACTAGGGACTTGAATTCCTGGGTCTGAGACAGAAGGCCTCCCGGGGGTCTGAGGAAGGAGGGGACGGGGACTCCTGGGTCTGAGGAAGTAGGGAGCTGGGGACCCGCACTTTGGGTCTGGGAGAGGAGGAAGGCCACACTCCTGGGTCCAAGGGGGAGGAGGGGACAAGGCCTGGGCTCCAGCTTCTTGGGAGACCTGATTCACACGCCTGGCCTTTTGGGACAACAATAACTCAAGGCTGGGTCCCAGCATGGCAGAGACTAAGTGGGGAGCCCGCCTCCTGGTTCCTGGGGCCTCAAAGTGGGGAGAGGGCCCGGCAAGCCACTGCTGCCGGCGTCCGGCGTCCGGTGCCAAGCTGACCCCTCAGTGCCGGTTCGAGGCCCTGCCTGCACTCCACCCTCCTCCTTTTTTTGTCCGGAGCCCCTCACTCCCCGTCCCCGGACGGAAGGGGGGGGCTGGGAGGGGGTGGGGCGGCCCCTCCCCCTGCCAGCAGGAGGAGGGGTCCCCGGGGAGGCCGGGAAGGGGGGGCCGTGGGTCTCCCCGCAGGGCGGACGGGGACTGAATGTTAATCGCATCCCGAGTGTGTGTGTGTGTGTGTGTGTGTGTGTGTACAGAGAGCGAGTGTGCGACTCCCTCCCGCTCCGGCTCGGGCTCGGAGAAGCCGCCGCCACCCGCCGCTCGGCCGCCCGTCCGCAACCTCCCGCGGCCACGGCGCGGGCTCGGGGGCGCCAGGCTGGGTGGGTCCGCCCGGCCCCCAGGGGTCTCTCGCGCGTCTGCCATCTGCCCGGTGAGGCTCGGTGTGCGGGTGTCTGGGGCTAGGCTGGCGGAGGGGGGTGTGTGTCAGGGCTGCGGAGGCCAGGGAGGGAGGGGGGAGGCTTGTTTGGCTGCAGGACCCCAAGCTGCCTGCCTGGGTGTCGCGGGGCCCCTCAGGGCCCCCCGCTAGCCCCCCAGCCCGGATGGGTGCTGTGTACCTGGGCTCGGTGCCGCCTGCCTGCGTCCGCCGGGCGTCTGGGCGTCCCCGGTTGCCTGTGTCCTCCTGTCTGTCCCAACAGCCCCGGACGGCAGTGGCGACCTGGCCCCCCCTGGACCCCCTGTGCGTGTGTGTGGCTCCCTCCTGCGGGCTCCGGGGGTGTTGAGGGGGAATCCCAAGGAAGTGAGCTGCGCGTGTGTGTGTCTGTGTGTGCGGCTGCCTGGGTTTGAGAGTGGGGGTGTCCAGGGGGGGTCTGGAGGTGACCAAGCCAGCAAAGGCCCGCCAGTGCCCCAGGCAGGCTCCTCACACAAACACATCCACCAGCTACCAGCCTCAGAGGTGACCCAGACAGACAGACAGACAGACACAGACGTTGGGGAGGGGGGGGGCTCAGGGCACAAAGGGGGGGTGGTGTGAGGGAGCCAGGGAGAGGCGGGACCGGACACATGGACAGGGGGAGGAGCCGCCGCGGCTGAAGGCGGTGCAGGGGAGGGGG